GGGGTTGGAGTGGTGAGGAAGAGGAAGACGACGAATGCGCGCCCGAAGCTTTGCCGAGTTTTGCCGAAGCACACGCTGCATTGGCGAAAGTGAAGTCGTTCTTTTATGCGCTTAATATTAGTGAACGTGACGAAGAAAACATTTTGAACGTGGAAAGTGCTCTGTTTGGTCTAAAACGTAAAGTTTCAACAAACCAGTTGTCCATTAAAGACTTTTTTGGTAAAAAGAAGTAACTTTGAAAGAGAAACATTGTTTTTTTTTAAATGTTTAATGCTTTCCCGCATTCATCGTTTTTATTTCCCACCCCCGCCGAAAACGATGCATCGAGGTTTCACTGTATATGGAATGTTTTTCCTTCTATAGAAAAAGATTTCACATGATCAGTTTCAAATCTCGATACTATAATGAACTTCTCTCTTTAATGTGACTTTTACTGAGGAAGAGCAAGACAGTCTGGACCCTACTGGGAAAGGATACTAGAACTGATTTATAGCTTGTTCTTCCACCTCATTATCAACCATATATTTATATAGAAAACTAGATAGAGAATATTTTGTACAAATAAACTTTTGTTATATCAATGTTTACTGCAATAATAATGAGCATTACTATCAGTGAGGCACCTTATGACTGACACTGATACAGCAATAAAGGTAACTAATATCAACTAAAAAGTGTATTTACAATAAAAACAGTCTGAAGTATTGATATTTTCCCTTTCAATGTTGTGTAATTTTGCACTGGAATAATTATGATTCTTAAGATTTGAAGTTCTCACTGTGGTGAGTACAAAGATGGCTGTTTTCTGGGCTGTAGCACCATGTAGTCTGATATAAGATTACCAGCATTTCAGACGTCCATGCGATTGCCCTGATGATGGAGGCAGCAAGGACCCCCCTGAAATGGTGGTAAACTTATACCAGACTACATGGTGCTACAGCCCAGAAGACAGCCATCTTATAATTACTGTACTTATCTTCAGTAAGGAAACTACTGTGAAGGGTTGGAAAAGAGACAGAACACCATAAGAATGAAAAAAAAAAAAATCACAGATTATTTTGTTATTGGCTCAACATTCACACTCATACTGCTACTGCACAGGGAGCAAGTGAGCAGTTACTAAGTCTCTCCATTCAATTCACTGTTGTCTATTGTGGTATGACAAGTCAGAGTGCAGGTACAGCACTTGTATTTGATGTACAGAGCAAGAGACAACAATAACAACACACTTAATACTACATGATACAATAAAACTATGTACAACAATTTAGAAACAGCACTTAAATAAACTTCAAATTAAATCACTTTACACTGTTTATCAACACATCACACAATCATGTCCTTTTCATATGAACATGTTCAAGTCCTGCCAAAAATGTCCTCCTACTCATTACTGTACACTACACAGACTGAATGAACAATGAATTTTTAAACATTCAAAGACCTTGCATCACAGCCTATAACAGAAACTGAAATGTGAGGGCAATAGTTTTGTGTCTCGGGAACCTGACGTTACAGCAGTATTATGCCAGAAAAAAATTGTGGTACTTTACAGTGATAACAATCATGTAGCACTCTTCCAACCACTGGATGCTTCTTCAAAAATACAACTGTCACCTACTGTGGCTGTGGACGACGGAAATACACCACAATGCCCAATATTCCTACCAGTGTTGTAATCAGGTACAGGTCCCAGTTTGGGCCCAATGAATGGTCCAGATTGAACAGCAAAAGCCACTCCTGCCAACGGCTCTGCAACACAACATATATTTTAAAGAGCAAAAGGTAAAGTATTGCACCATGAAGGCCATGTATATGAGATAAGAGGTTTGAAAGGCAATGAAGATGTCCAACGTGGTCTTCTGGGTTGTAACTGTGTGGACCAATATTTCAGATGATCATACTGTCTCTATTTTTGACACAACTTAGAAGACCACAACAAACAAGGTGTATGAAGACTGAAGCAAGTGGTCAGCTCCATACTCTGGGGAATAAGCCTCTGGTACCCACTGGATAGCATATCTAGTCTGCAAGTGACGGAGAAGAGAAAAACCTGTCTCTGCCAAGAATCAAACCTCAGTAGACCAGCTCATACCTTATTCACTGAGCTATCCTCATATATACACTGAAAAGTGGAAATGTGTGACCAGCACAATATTTAGTCTTAGAGATGCAATAAATGAGGAGACATGTATGCACAAGTAAAGTTAGTTTTGCAAATAGATAATTCAATATTGTGACAACTACTACTTGGGCTCCAAGTCAACTATGATTTATTTAAAAATCAATTTACAGTAGTCTACACACAGGCAACTTAGAAAACACAGTCACTGTAACTCTAACTCTTCAAGTCTGTGACACAAACTTCGCACTGTCCACAAATGTTGTCCGTCGAGCTGTTCCGGTCCCCAAACTCAGCGCTCTTCACACACAGCCCTAGCTCTCAGCACCATGCTGGACCACTCAATGGCTCCTTGCTGTCACTATCTCACTATCTTGCTAGTTCACCCACTGTCCACCACTGTTCACTATTCCACCACCACTTCGAGAGGCAGCCCGTTCTTCAAACTTTACAGACCAAGACTCTCACATGTTCCCTTTCCTGAACCTTCCCTTCAGCGAGGGAACACTGAGTCCTAGAAAATTTCATGATGGCCACACCCCTGGCCTGCATCCACTAGGCACAAAGGGGAGTAGGGCAGCCCCTCCCCTCCAGTGCAAGCAGTCTGCCCATCGGTGCCACGTTACAATATTAAATACACCTAATACCTGTAATGATACCACTTTAGGTCGCCTGCATAAGCAGAAATACAGTGAAACCTCTATCCATCGTTCCCGGAACTATCGTTTTCCCGGATGCATCGTCCGTTTTGTCCGGTCCCGGATACATCCCATATAAAATAATGTTACATTTTCCCG